ATTATTTGTTTCAGAGGTACAGATCTGTGATTCAACAGTCTTGCACAATTCACAGCACTCACCATAGCACATACCCTCCCCAATGTCTATCACCCAGCCACCCCCTCCCTCCCACCCCCCACCACTCCAGCAACCCTCAGTTTGTTTCCTGAGATTAAGAATTCCTTATATCAGTGAGGTCATATGATTATATAATTTAATTTTTAATGATGTCTTTGTTCAACACCAGCGGGCAAGTCTTCTAAAAATGTAACAATTGGCTCTAGTGAGTTGATACAAATTGGCTGCAGCACATCGCTGTTGTGTAGAATTTTTCGGGGAAAAAAAATCACTTTGTAAACTACCAAGAACTCAGAATTTTTAAGTCCAAGACCTAAAATGGTATATTTTATTGATTTGATTCTATTTTGAAAACATGGAATAAAAATACTATATTAATTTATGTGATTTGGATTCTCTCTCACAAAATCTCTTTCCTTGAAATTTTGTAAGGTAAAATAACTCTATTATGAATCAATTGCCAGAATTTAATAGGTAAAATTTCACTCACATTGCTTTTTTAGACTATATTTATTTTGCAAATTAAGAAATTCCTCCCTATGATTTTATGTATGAATACAATGGATATTTGATTAAGCACTTAAAAAAGTTCTTTGGGATATTCTCCCTTTATGAATATAGGATTTGGTAAATGATGCGGATATGTGCTGGAAAAAGATGCAGGCAGCTTCCACCCTCATCGATGGGCTGAGTGGAGAAAAGATCCGATGGACTCAGCAAAGCAAAGAGTTCAAAGCTCAGATTAATAGGTATAAATTTCAGCCTTTGTTATAATTGCTTTCCCCAAATGCCACCTCTTTGTGACATGAGAGAAAAGAAAATACATCTCTCCAGTGAAGCGCTTTGCTTCTTCATTTCCGTATATCCATTTCTGAATCTTACAGCTGAGTTTACCCACTCTCAGTAAAACAGAGAGGGATTAAAAGGTTGTGAAATATTTTTAATCTCAAGTTTGGTTCAGCAATGTAGGTTTTCAGTACAAGAGTCCTTCTTTTTCTGTTCTTGCTGTTTTTGTTTTTGTTTTTGGTTGCTGGGGGCAGGCAGGGGCACAGGGAGAGTGAGAGGGAATCTTAAGCAGGCTCCATGCCCAATGTGGAGCCAGATGCGGGGCTAGATCTCATGACCCTGTAGTCATGACCTGAGCTGAAGTCAAGAGTCGGATGATAACTGACGGAGCCACCCAGGTGCCCCAAGAGTGCTTCTGATATTGTTTGCATTTGCCAGAACCATCTAGATACTTTCTCCAGTTCTGTACTCTTCACCTCAGTGATTTTGAACATGTGGATCAGGGGTTTCCTCTAACTACAAGGCTGTCTTGTGGTAGTGTCTATTGGTGTCCTCAGAAAACTGGAAGAGAGGGGAATGAGAAAGGAGTAGAGAATAGCAAGAAGTGGGAGGAGGAGAGGGAGAGCCAGAGGGGGAGAAGAAAATAGTTTCATCAGGACTGAGTCTAACAGGACCAGGGCATTGCATGGGAAAAGGATATTTTCCTTCCTAGGAGTCAAGTCGCTGGACCTGCAGGCTTCAAGGAAGCAGTCTCTCTCTTGCTCCTTGGCCTACCCCAAATGTGGCTCCTCCTACCACCATTTGGGTTTGGGGGCTCCCTTTTGCATGGTCTCTCCAGGTCTGTTTACCATGTGTTAAGGAGGGAGCAGAGAAGGATTTTGCCTAATAAGAAAACAAAGCTGCCCTATGACCTTTCGGAGTCACTAATGGGAGAGGGTGAATGTGTTCGCTGACTCACGTTGTCTTGTGTCCCCACAGACTCGTGGGTGATATTCTGCTGTGCACCGGATTCCTTTCCTACCTTGGTCCTTTCAATCAGATATTTAGGAACTATTTGCTTAAAGATCAATGGGAGATAGAGCTGAGAGCTCGGAAGATTCCTTTCACAGAAAACCTGAATCTTATTTCAATGTTGGTGGATCCTCCAACAGTGAGTGTCACTTTCTTCATAATATTATTTGAATTCCAGCCTTACTTACTAAGAAATCACGGTTCACCTATTTTTTTTCATTTAATTAAAAAGATTGTTTTGAAAATACTTAAGAATTAACTAAAAAGAAACCTTTCTTTTTGGTATGGAAATTTCTTTGAGTTTTAAGAAATCTTGCTTTCAAATTATCAGTTGCACTGCTGTGAACTAAAAGACCATACATGAGGGTGCCTGGCTGGCTCAGTTAGTGGAACGTGCAACGCTTGATATCAGGGTCATGAGTTCAAGCACCACACTGGGAGTAGAGAGTACATAAAAAAATAAAATCTTCATAAAAAAAAAAAAGATCATTCATGAATTATAGGCTTGCTAATACTGGGCTTTTCTTTTAACTTTCTATTATTTGCACCACTCCTATTAAGTCACTCTCTTTCAAACATTTTAGGTGATTATAGGCATTAGCTAGGCCATAAGTACTGGTATGAATCTTCTTTTGATCATAAACCATCTTTTTGTCCTGTCCAAGAGCATAGTCCAACAGTATGTTCTAGTATCACTGAGTGATGGCCCCACGACACTAACCTCCTTGTTGGGAATTTGATGCCACTGTCAATTTTCAGTGTATCTTTGCAGAGCTCCTATGACATTAAATGCCTTCCAGGCAATTTGTATTCATGAATTGCTTTCTGATCTGTAAATATATTCCCCAGTGGCTTTTTCCTTTGGGAAGCCATGCTATTAGTTTTGTGTTATCCGTATTTAAAAGTTAAAAAATTAATCCTTTCCAAGTCACACAATGTTCAACTGGTTGTTTCCAGGGACTAGATAATGTATTAAAGATGCGGTGGACACTGATGAGGCAAAGTGGACCAGGGTATTCCTTATTAATTGCAGCCTTTGGAGGCTGCTGGGATAATTTAATGAGGGTGAAGGCTGGTGGATTCATTGGATCTTAGGTGATTTTATTGACCACGTGGAGGCAGGCTTGCAATTCTCTCATAATTAGGGAGGATTTTTTTTTTTTTAAGTTGAGTTATTTATTTTCCAGTGATCTCTACTCCCCAACATGGGGCTAAAACTCACCACCCCAAGATCAAGAGTCGCACACACTTCCGACTGAGCCTGCCAGACACCCCAGGAAATATATTTTTTTAAATGTCATTGATGAGCACCTGCCAGTATAATATCCCTCCTAATTTCTCTGCCTCCAGCTATGCAAATCCTGCCCTTCAAGTAAACAGAGCCAAAGGGCAGGAAGGGGAAGCTTCAGGGGCTTAACCCTTGGTGCTTATCTTTCCAGACATTTCGGTGTATTCTTTCCACTAATCCTGCCTAGTCTGTATCCCACCGCTCACCCAGTCTTACCATATTTTAAGCCCCTATGTTCTCTGAATGTTAAGCAACCATGCTTCAAAAATTCACAGATTTTGTAATATTCCCTCATAAGTTTGAAAATGTAGCATAAAGGACTAAACCCTAATCTTGAGTTATTTGAAGGATTTATTAGATTATAATTTTTTTTAGGTGAATGTTATTTGGGTCACATTTACAAGTTTGTTTGTTTTTTCTAGGTACCCATTGCATAGTCTCAATGGAAAAAAATATATATCCCAGTATTAAATTCTTTTAATATTGTGGCAATTTTAATTATTATGAAAACATTTTTGTTCTCCTCTGACTGGCCATATCCATTTCTTATTACTTAGATTGGGGAGTGGGGGCTGCAGGGATTACCAGGAGATGACCTCTCAATCCAGAATGGCATCATTGTGACAAAGGCCACCAGGTACCCACTCCTCATAGACCCACAGACTCAAGGCAAAACTTGGATTAAATCAAAGGAAAGAGAAAATGACTTGCAAGTATGTACCATTTGTTGTATGGGAAAGCATTCTTAAAATCATGAAGTTTTCCCAAAATTTCAATTGATTCTGCCAGTCATAAAGTCATCTCTGTGATAATTGTTTGTTAATTTATACCCTTGAGTTTTCTAACAGTGGTTTGGGGCAAGGGCTCAGATTATTTTCTTTGTTTTGTGTTCTCTCGTGATGTACGCTTCTGTTTGTCCCCTTCCCTGGTTCTGTTGCCTTTGCCAACGTTGGATGTGTCTTTTATTCTGGGCCTTCGGTTTGGGCTTACAGGAAAGCAGCAAAAATAGAACTCATGACTCCTCGGTTTAGGGCTATTTGCTCCAACCTAGCTCAGGTACATGGTACTTCACGGCATCGTAGAGTCGTTTTAGAGTTGGGATCTAATAAGGTGTTTATTTTGTTTTTAATTTTATTTATTTATTTTTCTTAGAGAGGGAGGAGTGGAGGGGCAGAGGGTGAGGGAGACAGAGAATATCTTAAGCTGGCTCCACACCTAGTGCAGGGCCTGATATGGGGCTCGATCTTACCACCCTGAGATCATGACCTGAGCTGAAATCAAGAGTTGGATGCTTAACTGACTGAACCAACCAGGCGCCCCATAATAAAGTATTAATTTTAAGGAAGAGGTAGACAAAGGCAGGATTCCAGCATCTCAGATTTACCATCGATATTTCAACTACCAACACAGACTGTTCCATTTCCCAGGCAATGTACTCAGAGTTCTAAGTCTCCTGGATCCATATTTTTACATATGCTATTCTACTAACCAGGATGTCTTTCTTTACCCTACTCCCCATTTTACTTATATCCCAGATAAATATCTTGAGTGTTCTTCAAAGTCCGCATCCAATAGTACCTTCATCAAGACTTCCCTGTGTCTTCAGTTTAATATAGGGTGTCCTAAATGCTCGCAATGTCTTATGTGGATTTCTGATATGGACTTAGGGTCTGTTTTCAATTACTGTTCATTGCACATTTGTCTTTTGTCTTTACTGTATCATAAACTTCTTGCTGACAAGGCTTATGGTTTTATACCATTTTCTATTTTCTGCACTGCTTTTTCTATGGAGTAGGAATTCTGATATTTATTGAATTTCAATGAATTAAAGTGTGCCATCATTACAAGGAAAAAACAATAGAAAAATCATGTGATCGTCTTGATAAATGCAGAGAAAGCACTTGTAAAATTCAACACCCATTCCTGAAAAAACCTCCAGCAAACTAAGAATAGGAGGGCTCTTCCTTAATCAGATAAAGAGCATTTACCAAAAGCCTACAACAAACGCCACTTAATGGTGTAATATTGAAAGACTTCCTTCTGAGATGAGGGTTTCCCTGACATGTGGATGCTGCCCGGTGCTCAGGAACACCCCTGAGACCCTCCCAACTCACTGATACTCCAGAACACAATGCACCAGTCTGTTTACTTGGAAAACCAGGGAGATCCCAGAAAGAGAGTGTTAACAGAGGAGGAGAGTTAAGGGAAATGAAGTCAATGGGAATGTAGCTTCTGAGGAGCTGTCTTCACAGAAGGAAAGTATGAGTGGTGTATATGGGAGCATTCCTGCCCCTCAGCTTTTCCTGGATCCAGCGCAACTACTGCTTATCTCCTGTTCCATTCTCTTGCTTCTGCTGACTCTCCATCTCACTACTCCTCCTGCTCTTAAGTTTCCTGATCATAGCTTTGTCTCTCCATTTTGGTATTAAGCTCCTTGATAGCCTTCGATGATGTCCTTCCTGATGTCACCCAGTCTCAGGAATCTTCTTGAGGAAGTAATAGCAATATGCCAGAGATACTGACATGTTTTTAAAACCATCAACTCCTGGAATGTAAGGAGACTGAACTATATTCTCCTTACACAGGAGACGTTATATTTTTAAACATGTGGATAAGCACATGCACAAACACCCATAAATGAAAACAGAATAAAACAAAAATATTATTTCTTTATTTGGGAAGGAAAACAAAATGAAAATTGTGGCTCAGTTGGTTGAGCGACTGCCTTCGGCTCGGGTCATGATCCTGGAGTCCCGGGATCGAGTCCCGCATTGGACTCCCTGCTCAGCGGGGAGTCTGCTTCTCCCTCTGACCCAACCCCCTCTCATGTGCTCTCTCTCTCTCTCAAATAAATAAAATCTTAAAAAAAAAAAAAAAGAAACACTTTATAAATGAAAAACAAAACATGTTTTGTACGTCCAGGACTGCATTCCACTGTGGCAGCTTTGTCAAGGCCACCTTCAGTAACATCTCCAGAACCTTCAGCTCTGACTTCGAGAAAGAGAAGGTGTTCATCAAGTTTCCCTATAAAAAATTCACCACCCTGTAAAAACCCAACACTAGAGTCTCTGTGCAGGTGACACAGGCTCTGATGGTAGCTACCACATAGTGTTACTATACAAGAAAATCAAATGAAGGGGCACCTGGGTGGCTCAGTTGGTTAAGCATCTGCCTTCAGCTCAGGTCATGATCCCAGGGTCTTGGGATCGAGCCCCACATCAGGCTCCCTGCTCAGTGGGGAGTCTACTTCTCCCTCTGCCCCTCCCCCCACTCATGCTCTCTCTCTCTCTCTCTCTCTCTCTCTCTCTCTCTCTCTCTCTCTCTGTCTCTCTCAAAAATAAAATCTTAAAAAATATATACAACTAATGAATTGTTGAACACTACATCAAAAACTAATGTACTATATGCTGGCTAATTGAGCATAATAATAAAAATAAATAAATACAAAAATATAGAAAATGATTTATTATGAGAGGTTGGCTCATGGGTTTGGGGAGGCTAAGAAATCCCACAGTCTGCTGTCTACAAGCTATAGGTCCAGGAAGGCTGGTCATGTAGTCCCAGTCTAAACTCTGAAGGTCTGTGAACCAGGGGAGTCAGTGGTATAAGTCTCAGTCCAAGTCTGAAGGCCAAAGAACCAGTTGCTGATGTCCAAGGGCAGGAGAAGATGGATGTCTCAGCTCAAGCAGAGAGCAAATTTGCTCTTCTTCCATCTTTGGGCTCCATTCAGGCTCTCAATGGATTGGATAATGCCCACCCAAATCGGTGAGGGTGATTTTCTTTACTCAGTCTACCTATTCCAAGGCCAATCTGTTAAACACCCTCACAGACACAGACTGAAGTAAAGGTGTACCAGCTCTCTGGGCATCACTTACCCCCATCAAGTTGACACATAATATTAACCATCACACTTAGGAAGCAAATCACGAAAATAGAATTTACTCCTTAGGAAACAGAGCAGGACAATTATATTTAGTCTCTTGGGACCTTGTTTCATCTTGTTTAATAAGCTGGTTGAAGCTCTTTGTTTAGATTCATTTACCTTATCAACTCATAATGAGGTCTTTCACAGCTCATCATTTGTGTAAATAAAGCTATCCATCCAGGGAAACAAATTCCTTCATGTACAGGACTTTTGTTTTAGTTATTTCCCTTCTATCCAAAACAGAACAAGAGTAAACTTATTTAATTTTTATTTCCACATCTCTTTTTCATAGCAAGGGAGAGATAATATCTTTTAATTCCACTCCTTTAATCTCCTGCTGTCCCAGGATCTTCCTTGTGTCTTAACATCAGCCCTCACAGCAGCATAGAGACAGTAGTGGCATCCAGAGGGTAGAGTGTAAGGAGATGGAGAGTTGAGGGCTGACCCTTCGGAAATCCTCCCATTTAGGCGGCGGAGGGATTGTAGGAGAAGTAAGAGTTCAAGGCCATTTGGCCAAAGCGAAGATCAACCAGCCCAGTGTGTCTATTTTTTTTTTTAAGATTTTATTTATTTGAGAGAGAGAGAGTAAGAGAACACAAGAGGGGGGAGGGTCAGAGGGAGAAGAAGGCTCCCTGCTGAACAAGGAGCCTGACGTGGGACTCAATCCCAGGACCCTGAGATCATGACCTCAGCTGAAGGTAGATGCCTGACCGACTGAGCCAACCAGGTGCCGCCTAATGTGTCTATTTTAACTAATCAACAAACACTGAACTAAAACACTGGGTCCTCACCAGGCATTCAGAATTCTAATTTAAAAAAAAATATATAATATAAAAAGTGAATATACAGTCTTTTAAGTTGATTTTATGGGAAGTATCTATCATATTCTTCCATTGTGCCACTGTTAGAGGCAGAATACATGGATGGGACCTTGGTTTGACTCCATATATAATTTCTGACATTCTTTTGCCTATTTTTTAATCATTTGATCATCTCATGAGTGGTCCTGAGGAGATAAATGAATATTGCAAATATGCAAGTTACTTTGCTTTCCCTGAGTGATCATAAATATGTATGTGTAACAGGTTTAATCCTTGATTACTTCTCTGCTCTGTGTAGGAGCAGATTTCTGACATTCACTTTGAGATGTGCCACTCAATTCTCCTGTTTCGATCAGAGAAACTGTTGCTCATCCAGAGCCTACACAAAGTCATGGGTTCACCACGTTTGTAAAATTAAGTGTTCTTACTTTTATTTTCATAAGGCTTCCTATTTTGCCCTTAAAATTCTTAGGCACCTGTGCAACAAATCTCTTGGTTTCCACTTAGGAATAAGCACATTCTTTGTCACATTTATATAGCAATGAACCCTTTATTTTTAGGTAACATCTCTGAACCATAAATATTTCCGCACACACTTGGAGGACAGCCTTTCCTTGGGCCGACCCCTTCTTATTGAGGACATTCGTGAAGAGCTGGATCCAGCCCTGGATAATGTATTAGAAAAGAATTTCATTAAATCAGGCACCACATTCAAGGTGAGCTTAGGGAAGGGGAAAAAAAAAAAAAAAGAAGAAGAAGACAGCAAGAAAAGAACAATGGTGACATCTACTTATCTTTTTGAGCATAGCAGCGAAGGTACTTTGCTTCAGGTGGTAGTATTTGATACAATGGAAAAATTATTTCCAAACTCATATTTAGTGTTTCCCTTATTTTTTTAATTGTATATGAAAAATACAGGGGAAAGCAGTATTTTGGTAAGAGTAGCCATTTAGCTGACACTAAATAACATATTGAGGATATACATTGGTCATAATAATATATTAATGTTGCACACTATATATGTATATATGTTGGCAGCTCTGAGAAAATTGGATTTACAAGTCATATATTCATCTGTACAATAAAATGTGCATTTTCTCACAGGAGAAAATGGCATTTTAATAAAGTCTATGGACATTGATTTGTTCATTTCTCTCTGTATTAACTTTCAATCTAAACTCACAGACTTTGCTAGAAGCAATAGAATCCTGTTTCCCATCATTGGTGAGAACATGAATGGTTTTCAGTAAAAGTGTTTCTTTTTTAATTGGAGGCATTCTCTACCTTTAGGCTTCTTTGGTTTTGTTTCTTGATGAATGACAGCATTTCTGATTGAGATTTTTCACTTTGGACAAATTAATTTCATGAATATCAGTGAATAAGTACAGAATGCAAATGTTCTCATTGAACAAAGATTTATTTAGAAAACATTTCTTCATAATGTGAATCTTTTATGTGCCATGTTTAACATGCCAAGGAAGGGTGTAGGATTTTTATTCCTGAAGGTCTTTCAAAAGAACATATTCTTATCTGTAGTGTGAAGGCTTGGTGCTTGAGAACGTGGTAGTGCCTTACCCATGTGGTTTCCAACCACATGTAGAATCAAGATTAATTAAAAATTTAAGTCCTTTAAAATCGTATAATTTCCACCTAAATTTTAGATAGCAAAACCAGTTGTTTTTTAACATAATATACTGCAAATTGTAGTATTTAAGATAAATGTTATGTTTCTGAAAAAAATGTCAGCACTCTTTTCTTTGAAAATTTCATTAATCCTTTATGTTGTCAAATATGCTTCAGATATGACTGAAATGCAAAGAGAAATAACAAACACTTCCTCTAAACACCACAAATTTTCTCAGTAGGAAACAATTTCCTCAACTGGGAGAAAACAGTCAAATCTGAGATGTGTCTGAGTTTTCCTTTATTCTACATTTGTTGGGGATAGATTTTTTCATTTAATTTGTTTGTTCATTTAATTTGTTTGGTGTCATGGCTAACAATGTCTTCTGGCAGGACCACAAATCTGAATTATTTAAGATCAGTGATAAAGTCTTAGAACTTTTTCCTTTGCAATTCATTCAAGTTTCACAGTGCTGACCTCTGGTAAATTCTTTCCTAAATTAACCCCAAATTCCTTGTCTTGCCGCTTAAGCTGTTTTTAATTTTATATTTGAATTGATGTAGGTGAAAGTCGGTGATAAAGAATGTGATGTCATGGATACATTTAAACTTTATATTACTACGAAGTTACCCAACCCTGCCTTTACCCCTGAGATCAATGCTAAAACGTCAGTCATTGATTTTACCGTCACTATGAAAGGACTTGAGAATCAGCTATTAAGGAGAGTGATTTTAACTGAGAAACAGGTAATAATTTCTCAAGGTAAAGGACTACTTCTAATAAATTATAATAAATGCTTAAGATATATTATGAAATTGTTAAGTATTTGGGAAAGAAAAAACAAAGCAAATTTTTATTTACCTTTGTTAACATATATATTAGTTTAGCTGTCTCCTGTCAAATCTTGTCAAGAAATCATGTAACTAACTCAGCTGTCCCCCAACCCCAAATGTGTGCACGTGCATAGACACATACACGCGCGTGCACACACACACGCACGCACACCACTCACACTGTTTTTTCTACTTCCATCTTTAAACCTTGGAGTATGTTGACCTTTGAATCTACAGTCCTATGGATGGATGCTCTTTGATGTACCTGAAAAATTCACTAAAATAATGATCCTGGAGAAAAAGAAATTGCTCTGAATGAGTGTATTACCACTGGGGTAGTTTCAACTACTACAGTCTAGTACTCTAATGATACAGAGAGCCTAACTTTAATTTTAATTGAATAAAATTTGCATTAAGGCAGAGAAATTAAGTATGATTGAAGGTTCTAATAAAGAACAACTTAAAACTGGAAGATTTTAAGAGACTGATACAAGTTGAAACTAATTTTTAAGATAAATCTCAGAAAACATTTAACATTATGCATAAAATGTAATTATACTTATTTGCATATGGAAAACATATTTGCATAAAATCGGAGAAAGATTATATTTGCTTACCTAGAATAAGAGTATTGAAGGTTCAAGGAAAGGGCAAGGTTAGCAATAATAAGACCAGAGAGGCTTCACGTGGGAGGGTGGAGGGAAAGATTGGCAATAGAAGACCGGACAAGGAAAAGAGAAAGACAAGAGATAGGAGTAGATGCCATGAACACAGGAAAGACGTTGGAAGAGGGAAAGAGAAATGATCCTCGTACCAGAGAAACAGAGAGCCTCAGTAAAAGGAGAGGCAAAGCCCTACCTGGTTAGCCGGATGGTTAAGGGGCCGGCCCTTAAAGGCAGCCAGTCTGGCAGAGCTGAGCCAAGGGGGCGCAGTCCCAGCATCTGCTCTCACAAGCTGTTTGATCTTTGCTTCCAACAGACAGCCCAGGGCTTCTGCAGTCCAGTAAGGGAACCATGCCACTTCCACAGCCAGGCAGAGAGAACATGGGCCCTTCAGTTCATTGCTCATCACCTCTTGGAGCCACATGGTGCCAACTGTTGAAAATTAGTCCTTCTTTGGTAGTCTGATCTGATTCCTCACTGGTCTAGGTGCTGCATGCAGGCTGCACCAACTTCCCTAAGGCCGGCCACTCCACTATCTAAGGCAGGCGACACCCTGTGTCCCCAGAGGGCCCACACCCACTCTTCTAGGCCTCAGCTTCCTCTTCAAGGGATGTGCTAAAGTGCTTACACCAACCTTACTGGAAAAAGCCAAAACACACACTTAATCTGTAGGAGGACATCCTGACCATGATGTTTAACCCTCTTTATTATCCTGCTCTTACACCCTCATTTTACGGAAGAACAGACAGAAACCAGAGAGAATAGGTGATAAAAGCACTCTAAAAGCACTCGGACTTTTCACCCCGTCAGGCCTCCTAGATAAGCCTTACAGATCATGCTGTAGAACCCACAAGGGTCCACTGTACCATGATGCTTGTTTTGCCAGATCAAACTGAAAAGGAAGCTCATGTGATTTCATTTTGTCCACATATTCCTATACTGCCACCCAGAGGTGACCACCTTAATGGAAACAGCTCATTAGGTACTCCCCCACAAATACAGCCATGACCTTCATTGCTACCCCCATCAAACACAGCAAACCTAGGACACTGGCAATCATGCCACTGGTCTTGGAGTTGGAGAACAAGAGTATGAACCTGTCTTTGCCAGTAGCTAGCCATAGGGATCATGTTGGGATGGGATTCAAAGTTAATATTTCTGGGTCCTCAGTTTCCCCAGATGTAAAATAAAGCTGTTGAACTCAATTCGGCACACTTCAATTTAACACATATTTCTTGGGTTGAGTCCCTTCCCTACAACACCTCAAGGTAAGTGCTGTCAAGAATGCAAATGTGAATGGGACAAGTGCCTGCCCTCTAGCTTCACAGAATCTCGTTGGAGGGACATGATTGACACACAGATTCTGACGCAAGCTGTGGCAGGTGTAGAGATGAACACCATGCCATGGCTTCAGAGCCCCACAAATTGGTTTAAGACTTGCAGACTTGCAGAAAGCGGTGGAATTTCTGAAGTGGTTTTTCAAGAAACGTTCTCAGATAGGTAGTTTCAAAACACCTCCTTTTAACATAATTCTAAGTATAGTGTGTGATTCTGTAGAAGACCAGAAAAAAATGCTATAAAAATGCTATTGAAACAACTTCAATTTACATGTAGCAAGAGTATTCTTATATCCTTGTTAAATTTCCTTAATTTTGAAAATTACACCATGCTTGTATAAGAGAATGTCCTGGTTCTTAGGAGATTTGCTAAAGTTTTTAGGGGTAAAGGATCATGACCTCAGCAAATCATTCACCAATAATAAGAAGAACAATAATGATAATAAATATTATATATATATATAGAGAGAGAGTGATAAAGCAAAATGGTATCTGGTGAATCTGGGCAAAGAAAGCATTTATGAGAGTTATTGTATCAGTCTTGCAACTTTTCTGAAGTTTAAAATTTTTTCAGAATATAATTTGAAAAAGACATTATTTTTGCAGGAAAAAATAGGCCTTCCAAACATCCAGTTTAGCCCCTCTGGTAGAAGGAGATGTAAAACAATGGAAAAGGGTTTGTACTGGCAGCTGGCTCTGTCAGACCAGATACCTGGTCTGTGTTCCTACAAGCAGATCCCAAACGAAGAGCTCACACTTGATTTGGGTGGCCTCTTGGTGTTTTGATATTATGTCTCTGCTTCTACCACTTCTGATTGCCAATAAAGTTAGCATTTCACACAGAGGCAGTGTGGGAACAGAGCCAAGAGAATGGGACACTGTAATTTAAATAAACTTAGAGCCAGGAAGAGAGCGTGGGGGATAATCAGACAAAATTCCTTTAGCAGGGGAATCTCATGCATGCCAGTATAAGCACTGTGGAAACAATGCTAGTGGGCATAATTTCTTTTCTTTTTTTTTTTTTTTAAGATTATTTATTTATTTGACAGAGAGAGAGAGAGAGACAGCAAGAGAGGGAACACAGGCAGGGGGAGTGGGAGAGGGAGAAGCAGGCTTCCCGCGGAGCAGGGAGCCCGATGCGGGGCTTGATCCCAGGACCCAGGGATCATGACCTGAGCGGAAGGCAGATGCCCAACGACTGAGCCACCCAGGCTCACTAGCAGGCATATTTCTTAAAAAGTGTCCAAAAGAACAAAAGTAAAGTCATTCCAAAAGCACTTTAGTTTAAACTTTTAAAAATTGGGGGCACCTGGGTGGCTCAGTCTGCTGCTCCCCCTGCTTCTGCCCTCTCTCTTTCAAATAAATAAAATCTTTAAAAAAAAAACCCTGAAATTTGATAAGAAGCACTAAGTAAATTGGATTTGCTATAATGACTGGTGATTACAATTCTGCTGTTATTTCTTGTTTCTTTTTTTTAATCTGTCTTTAAAAAAATATTTTGTTTATTTGAGAGAGAGAGAGAGAGAGAGAACGAGCAGGGGAGGAGAGGGAGAAGCAGGCTGCCCGCTGAGTGGGGAGCCCAATGCGGGGCTCCATCCCAGGACCCTGGAATCATGACCTGAGGTGAAGACAGACGCTTAACTGACTGAGCCATCCAGGCACCTCTATTTCTTGTTTCTTAATGATAGGAATTAGAGTCTGAGAGAGTTAAACTTTTGGAGGATGTGACTTTCAACAAACGGAAGATGAAGGAACTTGAAGACAACCTTCTCTACAAGTTAAGCGCCACAAAAGGTACTGTGTTATTAACAAGTAACCGAACAGTGGGTCCCGAGTAAGGATTTCTTGGGCCCTCTTTTCAGCACCTCATGATTATAGATGTTAGGAAACAGTTGAGTTATCAGTGCAAACACAAGCAAGGCAATTTCCATCTAGATGTTTAAAGAGGGACTGCAGAGAATCTGATTTTTGAATTAGCAAACAGAGTCTGAGCATTTGAGAAGAACACAGTTTTCTAGATATAATTGCTCTCTCCTAAGAAAAATAAGGGCTCCCAATAGAGCTAGGTAACTCATAATAGGCTAATTTGCTTGCCCAAAGGAAACTAATGTGCTCAATCTAATTTTTTTTTTAAGATCGACTCTTTCATTTGGCATTGAAATGAACTTACCACAATGGGTGATGATGTGTGTAATCTGTGTCAGAGGCACTTGAGCACCCAAGGCCCAAACTCACTCTCCACTTGCCTTGACCTCCTACTTAGAAATCAGGGGTGGGTTCTCCTTAGGGCAGTCAGATCCTCATGCCACACCCTGATTTGGGGATGTAGTCTTTCTAAATAAATAAGAAACATCCTATCCAAAGACACTAACGTCAACAAACACTGTATTTTTCTATAGTAGGCAAATTACAGTAGCCTAAATCCTAACATTTATTATAGTCCTATAATGAATGCTTCCCAACAGCAATTTACTCCTTGGATAAACAAAAACCTTAACCTCCCAGAAGTACATGATATGTTATTCTCACACCATTCCCCTGCACTGCCTTGATCGTGACCTCAGGGAAAAGTCCTTTTATCTGCCTTGATTCCACTGCCTGTGTTTGTGAAGTTGTCTGTCCTCTGGTCCAGTGACTTCTCCCAGCCATTTGGATATACCTGGGCATCTTAATATTAGCAAAGATCCCTGAGGGCTCTTCCCCTGATCCAGCTTAGAGTATGCTGGATCAAGGTCTCGTTCCTGAGAGGTGAATTGCAGTTTGCAGTGGTAAACCACTGGGGGTGGAGGGAGCCAGATTTTGTCTTCAGACATTTGAAGACCAGTCATGTGGGCTGCCTTGGGAATCCCCTTTGGCAGATTTACAGGCAGCGTCAGGGATAACCTGTCTGCAGGAATGTTTGGAAGGATTCAGGCATCAGATGACAGTTGGGCCAGAAGCCTCAGTGTTTTAATACCTGACCTTCATCCTGCAGGCGTTGAAGAAATAAACATGAAAATGAACAGGTCAATTTCAGAAGGGCTGCCTCTCTCTTTGTGGCTTCCCCTTCTGGTCTTCTATGGTTTTCCTGTTTGGCTTTTAGGTTCCTTGGTAGACGACGAATCTCTCATTGGTGTTCTCCGAATCACCAAGCAGACAGCAGCTGAAGTAAGTGAAAAGCTGCATGTGGCTGCAGAGACGGAGATCAAAATTAACACAGCTCAGGAGGAGTTCCGACCTGCGGCCACCCGCGGAAGCATCCTCTACTTTCTCATCACAGAGATGAGCATGGTCAACATCATGTACCAGACCTCGCTCGCCCAGTTCTTAAAGTTATTTGACCAGTCCATGGCCAGGTGCGGAGTCCTTCCCCTGCCCTGTGCAGAGTCACTTAAAATTTTTGTTTGTATTCCTACTGTCTTAGCAATGGCTGTTGACTTCCTTAATTTTTAAAATGTATTGCAGATCTGAGAAGTCTCCGCTACCTCAAAAGAGAATTACAAATATTATTGAGTATTTGACATACGAAGTTTTTACATACTCTGTTAGAGGCCTGTATGAAAACCACAAATTTCTCTTTGTACTCCTCATGACCTTGAAGATTGATCTTCAGAGAGGAACAGTGAAGCACAGAGAGTTTCAGGCTCTCATTAAAGGTGAAGGGCTTGGGATATGGATGGTGGTATGTAAAGGAGATTGCTTCTGATATGCTCTTCGACATGCTGGAGACCCATTTTTATGATACAGTGGGGGAAATCATGTTCTTGTGAAAGGGAATTTCTTTGGATCTTGTGTTTTTTTTCTGATTCCCATTCATTTTACTCTGGTTGCTCAAGATGATTTATTTCAGGCCTGTGTTCACTCCATGTTTTCCTTAATTATATCATTACCTGAAGTTTGGTCATTGTTGCCTGTGGTTAGGAAACCCGAATGCCGAAGGGAAGAAAAGTGAGGTGGGTGATGAGCTTTCTATCACAAGAGAGCAATTCCTTGAGCAAGGGAGTATCATGACTTTTAAGACAGAAAAAGGCACACTTGTATTTCATATTGGAAGTTATTCCTATTCAATGCTCATCTCCACGTTAAAAGTATCATTAAGGGGATAAAAGAGTGGCATTTTCATTCAATTCAGTTAAACAAGTATTTATTGAGCATATACTCTGCAAACCCACCATACTAATGTTGGTATAGAAGGATCAACCAGACATTGCTTTCAAAGAAAACATTCTCACAATGGAAATAGAGATGATTTTAAAAATTATTGTAAAACAAGGAAGCATATTCTAAATGTTAGGAGAGAGCTAAAAACAAAGTCTTAATGTCTAAAAGGAAGGAGAGACTTGTGGTTGGTGAGTCCAGTAAAAGCTCTTTGGAAAATATACTGTTGTGGGTTAAGCCATGAATTTTTCAGATGATTTGATCCATGGGGAAAATGTTTTAATGTAACTCTTATGTTTTTTGCTCCTTTTGTAAAGTTTAATAAATCATATTCTGGCTGCCCTCACCCCCAAAAGAAGAAAGTGGCATTTTAAAAGGACCCTGAAGGATGGGTAGAAGTGAAGGAGACATTCCAGGCTGAAACAGAACAGCATCAGAAAAGGAATGAATGAAGGGCGCATGTCAGTTGTGAGTCTTGATGCCTCGAGGAAAGATTTTCTTGGTCTGGTGAGGGACAAGGAGTTGTGTGAGGTGGTGATGTGGTCCCTCAGGAACCTCTTATCATCTTTTAGGAAGATGACTCTGGCAGACATGCATAGGATTATAGCAGAGAGGTTCAAGGGAGTTTATTATAATCTTCCCAGCCACAGGGAAAAGGTCAACCTTGGGAATATAAAGAAGAGGTCATGGAAGTAAAATGGCATCTTGGTCAGAAATGAGTTGAAGATTTCTGGTCTAGTTGGTTGAAAGCGGAACGAGTTTGAGAATCGTCGGGGGGGTGGTAGTGAATGTGCTCTGGGGACCTAGTTTCAGTCAGAATAGGCCAGGTTTCGTGGCCATAAAAACAATCCCAAACTTTCAATGGCTTGACACAATAGGGGTATATTCTCATTTATTCTCTCTCCAACATGCCTGGTTAAGGTCATGGTCACCCAGGAATTGCTTCTAAAATTACTACGGCAGAGGAATGGGATAAGACACACCATGTGCCGGCTCTTAAAAGTTACCCCGCAAGTGATGCATGTCACTTAAATGCTCATCTTTCATTAGGCAAAGCAAGACACACAGCCACACCACTAACCTCAGAGAGAGCAGGGACATGTGCTTCTCCCATGTGCATGGAAAAGGGGGAAATTGAATGTTTCTGAACAGCTCTGGTGACTATACACACGTGTTGCATTTGAGATACCCAGCAGACAGTTAGAAAGGGTAGGCCAGACAGTTTAGAAGAAGTCAGACAGCTGCAGAGATAGGGCATAGAAATAACCACCAAAGCCATGGGAATGAAAGAGATCATGTAGGAAGAAAATGTAGAGTATTCCTAAATTCATACAACAGGGGGATAGAACACAATACACTTTTCTCCACGACATCCTCTTTGTTATTATTTATAATAAACAGGCAGTAAACTGTAACTTATTACTCTAGCATCTTCTTTCTCTACTTTAGTGAATTTCTTCCTCGGCTTCAGGTTAGATGACTGCTGTAGAAACTTTGCAAACAATTTTGCAGAACGGCTAAAATTTCTTGATTTTTCATGTCTTACAGTTCAAAGGAAACTGGAGCATGTCATAGAGTTCATAGTTTTTCTCAGGCCCAATTCACCTGGAGAAGTTGATGTCTTAAAGTGTAGCATAAGGCAGCATGGTACAGTAAACTGTGGGCTGGACTAAGGAGCGGGGCCAGGGGCCAGGCTCTGCCACTGACCAGCTGTGTGAGCTCAGAGACCATCACCTGCTACCTCCATGTACGAGGGGCTGTGGGGCCCAGAGGGGAAGTGATAAGGACCACCGGGGAGAGGCGGGCAGGCTGTGCAGAGGGTCTGAGCGTACAGGTTTCGGCCTCTGTGACATTTAAATAAAGTGAGCCCAAATTTACCAAACCAGAAAGCTCCTTTGACTCCTTACAGTCACCTTAAAACCCTCACTTAGACTTGGGGCCACATCCTCAGTGTCTGGGGCACTGGGCCATGGGGAGGAGGGACACTGAAGCCTGTGGGAATCTAGGCAGAAGCAGGAGCAAAATGGGCCTCAGACGTAGGAAGGCCTTCTAACTGTGGCATACAAGTGGGATGGGAGGTGTACTTTGGATTTTTCCTGATCCGTGAGCCAGCTTTGCTTCCTGAGTCCCATCTGCCAACATGGCCCCTGAGAAGGAGACAGCTATGATTTAGAAAGAAGGAGGAAACCTGGCACTTTGGGCCACAAGGGGTCGTGGGAAGGACAAGAGAATCGGAGGTAGATGGAGGTCAGGTACGAAGATCCTTGTCTCTTCCCAGTCTCCTGAGGCTGAACCTTGGGTGGGTACAGAAAGATGCTCGAGAAACATCCAGATGGGAGGTGCCCCTGCATTCTGCCTGGTGCCAGATCCCACATGCAGCCCCCAGGCGGCATTGATGGAGGGGAGCAGTTAAAAGGCTAAGACTGACATCCGGCAAGCAGAAGTGTGGGCGTGGACATGTTGAGAGGGCTGGTGCGCAGCAAGAGGCCTGGGTTCAAACCAAGAAGCTGCAGGCCCCGGGGAACTTTATTCCTGGACACAAAGGACCAGTCTCTGTGGACAGCAGCCCGACACCCCTGTAGGTCAGACAGGATTCGTCACAGCGCCAAGGATGAAGTACAGGGATCCCAGCCTGTGGCAGAGATGGGAGGGCAGCATGCTGATCTGAGGCATCCTCCCCATTAGGACGCAATGCCACCCCACGTGCCTGTCCCCTCCCCACCCAGCCAAACCAGAGCCCTTACCTGAAGGAAACTGGATTCTTTGAGAGAAGGGATGTAAATCAGAGGAGACTGAGAAACACAGTGAGGAGGGAATTTGTAAGGAGGATGGGAGTGGTCACAGAAAAAGCACAAATTCTGTGCACCTGGGTCGTGGTGAGGGGCACATCTGTGACCCCACTTCATAAAGCTGGAGCGTCAGGGAAAGTCGGATTGCACAGGAGAGCCAGTGAGAAGAGTTTGGATTTAATTCAGTTGGCGATAGGAAGCCATCGAATGTTTTACGAGCAGGGAAGTAGCATGAACAGAGCAGTGCTTTAAAAAGATTAATTTGGGGTTGTATGATAAGTTGTCTACAGAAGTACAATCAGCTCAGCAGTGAAAGAGGTTTTTTTTTCTTTTTTTGAAAAACAAAAACCAAAACAAAATTGGTTTATTTTATGGTTTGTATTAGTTTTGAACTGGCTTACTTTTTAACCAGATTATTTTTTATAAAAAATGATTTATGATTTTGTTTTCAGTGTTTTTTTTACAAAGTTAACAAATATAGCCCTTAGATCTTTGATTTTTTTTATCATTTTTAACTCAGTACTTAAGAGGGAAAGAAGAAAGACTTATTTATCATAGCAGAAATATTTGATCTCCTAGGAATGACTGTCCCTTTGTGTCAATTCCTACTTGTTTTCTGCAGTATTTGGAAGGTGCCTTTGACTTTCTTCTTCAACTGAGAATGTCAGAACACTTTGAAAAATGAAATAGATACCAGGGACAATCCTGTGTTATAGAGTAATTGATAGAACTATTTTCCCTGCCTGGTTATTTTAGAAAGATATCATCTTTCTTTTGTCATCAACCATGGACAAAAAGACATTAGGGGGTCTGCTCTTGCCTCCCAGATTGGATTGGACCTGAGACTTCCAAAACAGAATTCATGTCAAAATAAGAGCTAATGATTACATAGCTCTCACTATGGGCCAAGACTGTTCTGAGCTTCCTACATACATGAATTTGTTGAATCTTCACAACAACTAATCTGGCAGAATCTGTTATTACACCCATTTGACAGAAGAGGAAATGGAGAAGAATTAAGTTCTTTGTCTGTGTTTAGGCAGCTAGCAAGTGGCAAAGCAAGAATATCTTGGGGAGGAGGGTGGGCCGTGATTGTTCTGGGATCGTGGAGGGGCACCAGGATGTTTCAAAACACTCGTTGTGGCTTTAATGTCTTCTCCTGATGTCTTTGAGGCTTATGGTCACATGAAAACATTTCTTTTGGAAAGAACCCAGAAGAAAATGCATTTGTCTCTAAGTTAGAGAAGCAGAGTCCCTTGAGTCTACAGATGATGCTCTCCAGCGGTGGCTTCTCCTTCAGTAAACTCGGTACTGGCAGAAATGGTGCAAGAAGACGGCTTTCTCTTCCCCCCCAGGTAGCAAAGGGTGGGGCGGGCATCAAGAGGAAGGTTTACCTGTTCTAAAGGTGTGGTGGCGCTCAGAGCCACTGACCCAGAGGTGGCACTAGGGGATTTACAAGAACACTTCAACTCATTCACCTTCTCAGGAAGGTGCTAGAGGGAGAGCAGCCCCTGCTGCAGTCCCCTCCAGCCCCTCTTTTGCCCAAGGGTTGATATGTGAAGTGGTGGCATTTGATGAGTTCTTCAGGAGGATTATAGGATTTAGAAGTTCAGAATCACTGTTTTGCACACATCTGAATTAAACAACAGCTGATAAAATGTTATTGAAGACACGCAATTGAGGAATTTTGAAGCTGTACATATAATTATGTGTCTCGGGGGAAGATTGTCCCATTGGGTATGCTCATTTGATTTGTGATTTGCTTCAAAATGTGATCCAACGCTGAAATTCACGCTCTCCTCTACACTCTGTAAGAGCAGAGGCCCTTGTGTGGTTTTCTCTGCTTTATCCCCAGTGCCTGGAATATGCTGATAATGCAGAGGGTGCTCAATAAATATTTGTTGAATCAATAAGTGAATAAATGATCTGAACACGAGTTACTCCCTTAAAAACCCACAGAGTATTATATTCCCCCCCCCCCCCCCCCCTATTCATCTTTTTGACCTGGTAAAAAAAGAGTATTGAGTATCAAATTTCTGGAGGAGTGAGGTCTAAGGAGTGATTTTTAAAATCACACATGAAAAGATCAGGCTATTCACTGATATCAAAATTGTAAGTTTCATGAAATTGATTGTTTAAAAAAAATGGTAAAAACGCAAACAACTGCAACCACCTGAGAAAAATTCTGTGCAGGGAGAAATGACAAGGAGCTGCTCTCTGTATTTTATAAGATGGTATAAATCAGAAAATAAAACACTAAGACTTGAAGGAAATGGACCTTAAAAAGATAGCCACATTTTCTGTCATGAATATTTTCCAATTTTCCCATTTTCTCTGTAATACGGTTACCTCGCTTCTGTTATTTGGAAAATAAATGTCTAAAAATGAGGCACAGGCTGACCTGATTCCCACCAATGCCTTTCCCCAGGGGGAGCAGCTCTGGACCTGAAAGCCTGCCCTCCCAAGCCGTTTCGCTGGATCCTGGATATGACCTGGCTGAATCTTGTAGAGCTGAGTAAACTTCCACAGTTTGCAGAAATTATGAACCAGGTAACGAGGGCTGGAGAAAAAAGTCCAGATCTGTAAACCCAAACATACCCAGGGCCATTTTAATTGGGGCCTCCTGGTGACAATCCCTTCACCCAAAAGGCTCAATGCAATAGTGTAGCTTTAGGGCACTAAGCTCTCTGTGGGCAATTTTTGATGAAGAATATCAGAAGGAGCCTTGTCATAGGTGCAGGTGACTGCCTTTTCCTTCTGTGTGGTGCACATGGGTCATTTATAAGCCTGCTTAACTCAAGCTGTCAGAATCAGAACCGGTGGGTGGACCCTTTTATTGTAGACTATTTTATTGTGGACTATGTTTTAACATTTTTACTGCTGCTTCTGATTAAATAAATTGTGCAGATTTGAATTTGAGGCAAATTAAGAGGCTGGGGTCCTTTCAAAAAAGCAATCATTTTCCTGGTGAAAATCTAAAAGGGTGAAGGATAATGGTGAAACAGGTCCTGATTCACCCGTTGGTTTTCTTATTTGAAAATGTAAATGTGTTATTGGGGATTAGTTGTTGATTCAGTTCTCACTGGACAACAAATGTGCAACTCAGCATAAAGATAATTGTTCATTTCTGAGGTTTGGTGTTGGTGATAGACACCTGTCACTGATGCAGGCCTGCGGTTTCCCAGCGTGATAGCCACCTCTTGGTGATAGCCACCTGTCACCGATGCAGGCCTGCGGTTTCCCAGCGTCAGATGCCGAAAATCAGCTTTTTGGGGGTTGCTGGTGATGGACAACTGGGGCAATGGGTCGACTACAAGTTGGCAGAGACCTCACCTTGTCATCACATGATTCCCTCCCCTTTACACACACCTACACCCTGCCCAGTATATACTAGGTGTGCCCGTTCAGCAGCATTTCTGAAACATTTTGGAGATTTTTTAAAGAAGATTTTATTTATTTATTTGAGAGAGAGAGTGAGAGAGAGAGCACAAGATGGGGTAGGGTCAGAGGGAGAAGCAGACTCCCCCTGAGCAGGGAGCCAGATGTGGGACTTGATCCTGGGACTCCAGGATCGTGACCTGAGCGGAAAGCAGTCGCTTAAGCAACTGAGCCACCTAGGCACCCCCGTTACAGAGATGCTTTACGTATTTAGCCGTGGCTGGGTCAGAGTCCCTGGCTCCTCTCTGTGGTGGACGGTAAGCTTTGTTCTGTATGAGTCCTCCAAGCCCAGACAAATACTTTGGGAAGAAATAAGGTGGTCTGCGTCTGGCAGGAGACTGGTAAGGGAGGCCTCAGAGCGCCACTGGGAAAATCACCCAACACTTGCGCCCTCTGCTGATGGGTTGTATTTATACTGGGATAGGCATTATCGTTTGCCTCTGTTAATCAGAATTTAATTACCTGCGGGGTAGAATCTGGTAGCTGCTACTGCTTAACAACGGGATAAGTACTTTGCAACAACTATAACCATGCCAGGGAGAAGTATTATTGGCCCCGCTTTATAGATGAGAAAATGGAGATTCAAAGAGGTTAAGTACTTGCCCCAGGCTGCATAGCCACTAAATGGTGACCCTGTAATCCGACTTTCGGCTCTATCCCTGACATTAGGAGTTATTTCTCTCCAACTCACCATGGGATGGACCGGAAGTGAGGGGGAGTGGTCATTCTCAGGAAAGTTGCAGAAGTTCCTGGGACCGGCCATCAGGTGGCCATCGGTTTGGCATCTCTGTGGGAGAAAAGGGCAGAAGGAGAAGGGGATCCGTCCCCAGCTGAAAGGGTGGGTGTCAGGAACTGAAACAAAAGTAGCCTCCAACAGCAGCTGACCTGCTTTGACATCTCAGGCTGAACTGTTCAGCCCCTGGAAGTGGTGTTGCTAACAGGGCCAGGAAAAGGAGTGAGAAGTGCAGGTGAGCAGCAAGGGGCTGTAGGAGGTCCCATTACCCCTGGCGGATGCGACTTGCTCTGGAGGCTCTATTGAGTAGAGTCAAAATGAGCAGATGTGTGGCCAGGAAGCTGGGAACCAACACCCTCTTACTTCCTGGGCATCCTCTCTAGCCTCGGGGCCAGAGGAGGCCCCGCAGGGGACCCTGTGGGTAGTGCGCAGGTGCTGGAGCAGTGGGGGGAGGGGCTCCAAGTGTGGCAGGTGGATTCTTTGGGAGTGGTCGAGGTCAACATGAGGGAACCACTGCAGGAGAAAAGACAGTTGTGAAACGTTTCAGAAATCCTCCTCCTTCTCTTGGTGCCCCAGGGGGACAAAACTGTAACTGAGGTCCAGAGCAATGGTTTCGCTCTCCATTTGCCCCCAGCCTGGATCCTCTATGATGAATTGTTTGCATGGCGTGGACTTTGGGGGCAGTTATTTAACCTCCCAGGGCCTCTGTGAACAACGAGGATAATGCAGGTAAAAGTACAATCTTCGGGTCTGGCCCATAGGACCTGCTCCATTTGCATTTGCTCTTCATCTTTAATGCTGACCACGGCTTTGAAAACATGCTTACAAAACACTGTCTCAATAATCCAGCCTGCTTGTTGCTGAGGGGCAGCATCGGACTCAACGAATCTTTCATTTTTGTAATTAGTTTTGTCATGACTGGGGCTTCAGGGAGTGCCTTTTAATGTGTCTGAAAACTGGCGTTACTTTCCATGCTTCTGAGAGAACAGGTATTCGAGACTAGCTCTTGGAGAGACTTTTTATTTTTTTTTTTAATGTTATATTAGTGACCATAGAGTACATCATTAGTTTTTGATGTAGTGTTCCATGATTCATTGTTTGCATATAACACCCAGTGCTCCATGCAGTATGTGCCCTCTTTAATACCCATCACCAGGCTAACCCATCCCCTGAACCCCCTCCGCTCTAAAACCCTCAGTTTGTTTCCCGGAGTCCATAGTCTCTCATGGTTCGTCTCTCCCTCTGATTCCCCCCCTTCATTGTTCCCTTCCTTCTCCTACTGTCCTCCATGCTGTTCCTTATGTTCCACAAATAAGTGGAACCATATGATAATTGTCTTTCTCTGCTTGACTTATTTTACTTAGCATAATCCCCTCCATTTCCATCCATGTTGATGCAAATAGTAGGTATTCATCCTTTCTGATGGCTGAGTAATATTCCATTGCACTACTGGGTATTTACCCCAAAGATACAGAGGTAGTGAAAAGAAGGGCCATCTGCACCCCAGTGTTCATAGCAGCAATGTCCACAATAGCCAAACTGTGGAAGGAGCTGAGATGCCCTTCAACAGATGAATGGATAAAGATGTGGTTCATATATACAATAGAGATTTCTTTTATTCTTAGGTTTAAGGTCTCAAGGCAGGGAATCACTAAGAAAATAAAAGTTTAGATTTTTTTCATCTATCACTATTTTAAGTAGAGGTCAACATTTAGAGGTTTGGTTATCAGAATGGTCCATATCAGTGATTTTCAACCAAGAGAGCATTTGACAATGTCTGGAGACATTTTTCATTGTCATGAGTTGGTGACAGGGGTGCTATTGGCATCTAGTAAGTAGAGGCCAGAGTTGGGTGCTAACAATCCTACAGTGCACAGGACTGCTCCCCCAAAATCACCTGGCCCAAAATGCCAATCATATTGGCAGGTTGTAAACCCCTGGTCTGTGTTTTTTCCTGCCTGATCATTTGGTGTAAATGATACACAGTCTTAATTTCAGTGAATAATATAGAAAAGCAATGGAAAAGTTGAAAGGGAATAGTAATGTCCATGTTCTTTAAGTCACTGATTCTGAAAAAAAAAAAAAGTCAGCTGTGTGGTTATGTTTGAAAAACTGTTTGCCTATAAAGAATGACTCCCTAAGGTTACTCAGAATTCTCTCCAGTATATTCCAATTGCATATAGTCCTATGGCTTGCTAATTGGCTTATTTTTTTTAGATATCTCGTAATGAGAAGGGATGGAAAAGCTGGTTTGATAAAGATGCTCCAGAGGAAGAAATTATCCCTGATGGATATAATGATTCACTGGATACCTGCCACAAACTTTTACTTATCAGGTGAGAATAGGTATTATCAGACCTAGAAACATCACTCATCATATTGTCAAATTACAGATCTTACCTCTGTGAGTTTACTTCAGTGTGTCCCAGTGGTTATTATAAATGTGTGTGCTTCCAAATTGCCATTTGGGATGGCAATTCCTTAGTTCCTTGACAAGCAAATAAAATGGGGATGGTGGCAGGGAATGTATTAATGATAATGCTTTGAGCAAAAAACATGAAAAATATGCCTTTGATATTCCCTTTTTTCATTATTTACCATTGAGTGAATCATTTATTGTTGAATTTACTTCTTAAAAAAAATTAGACCTCACAGAGTTGCCAGGCAATTAGTCTATAAGCTAAAATTCAATTTTACCTGAGAAAAAAGCCAAGAATTGCCTATTGAAATGTATAAATGCTGTTTTGGCTATTAAAAGTAGAAATAAACTTTGAAATTGATGTTAAGGAAGAAAATTCTTCCTTTTCTTTTCTTTTCCTTCTCACTTTTCATGTTTTCTAAGTATCCAGGAGCTCAAAGAAGGCTTCTATATTGGAAGGTAGGGGTGTGTGTGTGTGTGTGTGTGTGTGTGTGTGTGTGTGTGTGTGTGTGATTGATGGGCAAGGCAGGAGGGCGGAGTGGGGGAGTAGATGGGACCACAAAAAGAACAACAAAAAGATGTAGGATGATTTTGGAGTAGTTTCTGTCTTCCTAATATTATATACCTGACCTTGTATTTCTTAGAACAAGTTGTTTCCTGGATGTTGTCCACTCTTTGAGGGTCATCAGAGTGGTCAGCAGTGGTGACCTCATGATGTACAGAGTATGAAAGGGCTACTTGTCATTTTTTTTTAAGATTTTTTATTTCAGAGAGAGAGGGAGCATGAGCAGGAGGGGCAGAGGGAGAGAGAATCTCAAGCAGACTCCATGCCAAGCACGGAGCCTAACGTGGGGTTCTACCTCACGACCTGAGATCATGACCTGAGCCGAAACCAAGAGTCGGAAGCTTAACTGACTGAGCCACCCCAGGGCTACTTGTTTTCATTGGAATAGATGTGTCTATCTTTTATCTATTATTTAAAAATTGAACCCATGTCAAACAAATAATATAATCTACTAGCAAATAAGAATCCATAGAGCTTGTCTATGATCTAAAATACCAAATATCAAATGATATTTATTTGATCTGTTGCTGTGTATAGAACCTACTATACAGTGTGGGCTACACAGATGGTATTGAATACACGCTTGTTGATCAACCTCCTTTTGACAACTTGGACACTTTAATTCTCCCCTTGGAGACTGCAGAGCTTCCGAGTGGGCAGCAGGTTGGCCCCCGTCGTGTTCAGGAGCTGGTAGAGGACACCTCCCCTTGTGTCTTGCTGAGTCCCCACACCTAAAGTGGGGCCTGATGTGTCGTCGGCACATGATAAATATTTGTCAAAGAATGAATGTGCTCCTGTGGATTGGTCCGAATGAGGAATTGCTTACCTGAAGGTGATAGCTTCAGTGACTAGAGATAATCAGTGATGTGATTTTTTAAAAATATTTATTTACGTTTAGAGAGAGAGAACATGTGTATGGGAGCAAGGTGGGGGAGGGGCAGAGGGAGAGGGAGAGAGAGACTCTCAATGCAGGGCTTGACCTCACAATCTTGAGATCATTACCTGAGCCGAAATTAAGAGTCAGACGCTTAACCAACTGAGCTACCCAGGCGCCCCATCATCGATGTGATTTAAAAAAATAACTAATTAAAGCTTCAGAGTAATTGGTCTTTCTGAAAATGAGACGATTGGATCAGCTGGCTTCTAAGTTTCCTTCCAGATTGGCAACAGACTCTGTTGTTACCGGCTCTCCCCTATTTCTTGCCAGTGCCTCATACCAAAACCACATGATTAAATTGATATTCATCCAGGGATGGAAAACCTTCCCATCCTTTCACGGACCTGCAAAAGGGAGGATTACCTTTTTGTCCTTTGCTAATTAAATATGTTCTTTACATGCTTAGAATTAAATAGAATAAAAAATGAACACACTGAATTTTTCCCTCTAACTTGTATTCGTTTCTAGGTCTTGGTGCCCAGACCGTACTGTTTTTCAAGCAAGAAAGTATATTGCAGATTCTTTGGAGGAGAAGTACACAGAACCAGTTATCTTAAACCTGGAGAAAACTTGGGAAGAAAGTGATACACGGACACCTTTGATATGTTTCCTGTCCATGGGATCTGATCCCACAATTCAAATTGATGCATTGGCCAAGAAACTGAAGCTGGGTATGATCAGAAATCTATGCAATTTAGCAAAGCTTCCATATTTTTGTCTCAAACCTTGCCTTTTATAATTTCATAACTGAATCTTAGAAGTGTATCTACAAAACTGAGTTAGAAAAAATATTAAACTCTTTCCTCCCTTTTTAAATCTCCTAGAGTGTGGGTATGATACAGATACCTTTGTGCAGAGAAGAACACGCTTGTTATTTTTGTTATTTTTTTTTTTAAGTTGTAAGCAGAGGAACATAGCACACGGATAGCAGACTAACAAGAATGAACATACAGGGGTATTGCCATGTCCATATAAAATTGCAGAAAAGTCTATTTGGTCACAAATTAAAAAACTGTAACCACTATGACACACAGCAATTAGGGACTTATTCATTCTTTTTTTTTTAATGCAACTTTTTTTTAAAATTTAAATTCAGTTAGCTAACATAGAGTACCTCATTAGTTTTTGATGTAGTGTTCAATGACTCATTAGTTGCATATAACACCCAGTGCTCATTACATCAACGTGCCCTTTTTAATGTCCATCACCCAGGTACCCTATCCCCCACCTACCTCCCCTTTGGCAACCCTCAATTTGACCCAGAGTCAAGAGTCTCTCATAGTTTGTCTCCCTCTCTGATTTCTTCCCCTTCAGCTTTCCCTCCCTTCCCCTGTGGTCCTCTGTGCTATTTCTTATATTCCACATATGAGTGAAACCATATGATAATTGTCTTTCTCTGATTGACTTATGTCACTTAGCATAATCCATCCATGTCGATGTAAATGGTAGGTATTCATCCTTTCTGATGGCTGAGTAATATTCCACTGAGGGATGTATTCATTCAATAACCCTTTAGTACAGGCAGCAAGCTAGATTCAAGAAGTACAGAGATGACTACAACATAGCTGGGAAAGACAGACATGTAAGCACGTAATTGTGACAATGCTGTAGGAGTTATCCAGACACACCAGACTACAAGATTCAGACCTACTCAGACTGCAAGGGGAACAGAGGAAAGCATCACAGTGATGATATTTTGAGTAGGATCTAAAAAATAGATAAAATTTCACCAGGTGGGATGGTAGGCGGTAGAAGGAAAGTAGCTCCAGGGGGAGGAGGCAGGGCAAGGAGTTAGAAACACACAAGTAGTGAGAGCAGTTACTGAGGCAAGGATCTGTATGAGGCAGAGCACATCTTGGTAAGAGTGAGCCACCCTTTTATAGGATGGCTGTTTGTAGGAGGGCTGTTTATCTGCTCTTCATACTCTGGACATCAGAATGTGTTTGGAATTGCCATTTGGTATCTTTCAGATTCAGATCTCTATATCTATACCTTATTGGTTTAACTCATTCATGTCTTTATGAAAATTATTAAAGTGATTGATTATGAATAACTAAACCTACACTATGAAATAAAACTTACATTGAGTTCATTATTATGTTAACATGACATGATATAAAATCAGTTCATTCCTCTCCGAGTATTCACCATGTGTCCTGCACAAAGAAATTACTGTAAACCATTAGCTGAGGGTAGCATTGTCTGTGTTCATTCCCTCTTTCTTCATCTTGACTTTGCTCTATTGTCACCACACCCTTCTACGTTCTGTATGGATCCGTGTTTGAATGAATCCGTCACTTTCTTCAGTCTGAACACTGATAGAGCTCCCAGGTTCTAATAGCAACTGTTCCTGATTAAGTCTCATTAACCACCTTTAATGTAGGCTGTGTTGCTCTGGTATTTACGGCAACATGCCAGTCATCTTCATTGGTCTAAGAGTGATGCCTCTCTTGCAGCCCTGTAGTTTGCAAATCTCCCTCAGATGTATTCCTCTATGGAGTTTTGTCCCATTGCTTTCTCTAGCTGCCCCACTTCTCTCTGCTTATGGGTTTCTTTTTCCTGTCTTACTATGAACCAATCTCCATGTGACAGAACTCTTGGTCTCTGGTGGCTCATGAGCTTCACTGCTTACATGTTCAGTAAGTTCAGCACTCTCAGGGAAAGTCCTTTTACTCTCTTGATCTGAAGCCCAAATATCAAGGGAAGAAATTAATTGGTTTTGCTTTGGTCATGTGCTCCTTCCTGGACCAATCAATGAACTGCTGTTGCAGAGATGGGTTCATAGCAGGAACCCAATGTATGGAGCTAGAGTGGGGTCATTTCTTAGGAGGAGATATTGTTCCTAGAAGATGTGTGTATTTCCAACTAGAATTACAATGTCAGATGTTACCTGAAAATAGTGCTATTGTCTAGGACAAGAGTTTAAGAATAGAATTAAGAAATTCAAGGTCTCCATGGGGAGAAATTATAACCATGACATTAAATGAATCCATAAGGCTGGAGTTGTGCTATTACCTTTAGTGTTATTACATGTTATCATACTACTTTGCTTGGCAATTTGGTGATTTTCATTTCTTGTCATGACTTTAGTTTTTCCAACAATTGTTCAAGTTTCTATTGGTTATTTTATTAGGATGCTAAAACAGAGTAGATCTGATCCTGAAGGACCCAACGATTTTTATAAAGAACTCTTTGCTGAATAATTTTTAAGAATGCTAGAGATTCTCATGCTCTTCACTGCTTTGGATTAAAAAAAAATCCCTAAAATAGCTGTGAAAATGGAACTATTATATAGACAGAATAACATATTAATCTAGTCTCTACCACAAATATTTTATTTGGGTAATTGGATAATAGATAATCATAGAATGCTCAAGGTAAATAGGCTGGAAATCTTGAAATCCAACTACCTTATTTTATACCTGGGGAAACTAAGGTCTGAAGATCAGGTCAGACAGCTAGTTGGGGACAGGTCTTGGGGGGACAGATAAGGTCAGGCCTTATCTCAGGGCTTCCAAATCCCACTACAGTGGTGTGCTCTTTCATTCCCTCTCACTACCTTCCTTGGATGAATTAACCAGTTAACAGACAGCAACTTGAGGGATGGGCCTGAGTCAAATATATTTTTGTAAGAAAATCAAAACTTATCACTATGGATATTGTCAGGTGCCTGTCAGACTCTGCAGTGAGAGATTTGGAACAGATAAATTCTGCTCAGAAGCACTGGGTGCCTGGTGAAGAGGGAGAAGAGACAGAAGGCTTTAGCATGAGAACCCTACCAGAACCTGGATAAGGGAGAAAAGGGGTCCCAGAGGAAGGAGGGGTTTGAAAATAGAATCCAAACACAAATGAAAGGGAACAAGCAAAATACAAACCCACAAATATACAGAGGAAGGAATGAGAAAGTGGGTATAAAAACATATACAGATGAAAAAATTTAAGTAAGAGAGTAGTATATAGTTATGGTAATAACCTTTAAAATACCATTAAAATTCACAAGTTTGTAAAAAAATACAAATTTACAAAATGTTCTCAGAAAAGATAGAAAAACCTGAATACACCAATAATCAAGATGAGAAAAATTAGAAGTTTTTAAACTATGACCTCAGCAAAGGCCCTGGGCTTGGATGATATTTTTAGTAAATCCTTTAGAAATTTCATGTTTTATTCCATTTCAGGACAAGGAGAAAGAGGATATATTTTCCTCTTTATTTTAAGACAATAGCATTATCTTGATATAAACAGACAAGATAGTAACTTCATAAAAGAAACAAAACTACAGATTGATCCTACTTATCAATATAAATGTAAGGATCTTGACTAAAATGCAAACAAGAAGAAATCATTATAAAATTAAAAAAATAACATGCATAAAAAGTAATAATTTGCCTTGACCAAGTAGAAATGCATAGATGAATATAAGAAGGATATAGAGTTAAGAAATCTCATCACAACAAGAAGTAGAAGGCTTTTCCTTAGACAATCATATTATTACCTTGATAAATGCTAAAAAGGCATTTTATAAAAATTCAGCATTTGTATTTGACTTATAAGAAGTTGAAACAGAAGAATATTTTAATATGGTAGTGAATATGAACTTCAGACATCAACATTTTACTTACTGGTAACCAACTAGACACATTAAAGTCAGAAATAAGATAAAGATGTCTGCTATCACCACTATTATTTGGCATTGTTGTGGAAGATGTAGCTAATATATTGTAAGAACCATAAATAAAAGATATAAGTACTGGAAAGGAGGGACAAAAATCATCATTACTCTCAGGCAATGCAGTTGTGTAACTAAAAGCAAATGAATCAACTGAAAAACTATTAGATTTAACGGGACAGTTTGGTAAGGTGGCTGGTCAAAAAATAAATATATAAAAAAGTTAATGGAGCATTCTTGTAAAATAAAATGTTAAGATCCCATTCACTATAGCAATAAAAATAAAACTGAGAAATAATTTTTTAAAATGCCTATTAGAAGAAAACTATAAAACTTTCTTAGAGGCATAAAAGTAGGTTAGAAATAATGGAGAGTTAAACCACATTCCCAGTGTAAAGATTCAATATTGTAAAGATGTCAATAGTCTCTAAATTAATATATAAATTGAATGCAGGTCTAATTGAAATTCCAACTATATTTTCTGTTCTGATTGGATAGTAGAGGGATCTTAGATCATCTAGAACAAGAAATGGACAAGAATAACCAAGAAAGTTTTGAAAAGGAAAAAGAATAATGGGGAGCAAGCACCACCAGATTTGTAAACCTTTATCAAATGGCAATAATTTAGTCAGTGTGGAACTGGCTCAGAGTAGATAAACAGATCAATCAAGCAAAATGAAAGGCCTCAAATTAGGCTCTACTATCTATAATAGCTGAGTCTATGATAAGATTCACATTTCAAATCAATGGAGGAAAAATGGATTAGTCAATAAACATTGTTAGGATAGCTGGTTAACTTTAGGAAAAAGTAAGAATTTTATCTCACTTTAAACTCCAAAGTAAAGTCTAGATTAATTAAGCTATAAAAGAAAAAAAAAGAATATATTGATACTATTGGGGTAGCTAAGATTTTCTTAATCATAATACCAGACTCCAAAACCAAGGCAGGTAGTTTGACTGGATGAAGTTTTGAAACTTCTATATGTCAAAGCAGTATTAATA